GCAATGATTGTCACAGGTGGCTCCTCCTCGTTTGCGTCTATGTAGTCAGGGGGGCATGACTTGTCCGCGACAGCCAGCGCCTTCAGTAAGCAGCAGCAGCAACGTGATCGTGGCGAGGCCCGAACCCGTTTTACCTGGCTGGCGTTTGGGCCACGTTCGAAGGACAGCCTTGCGACGAACGTGAAGATTGCCAGCACGCTTGGCGAGGTGAATTGTGTATATCGTCGCGGTCCGCTCCCATCTCGTGCCCCTCTCATTCTGTCTCTCCATCTTTCTTCCTATATCTCTCTGTAAATCTCCTCCCCCTCCCCCTCCCTCATCCCTGCCCCGAGGAGCTGGACCACCCCGACATCGACACAGGCCAGGAGGCGGGCGTGTGCGGACCACCAGGCGCGCAGGTGCCAGTGCATCAGGACCGCGGAGGTGGTGATCGGCCCGCTGGTATGGGGCGTCCCCCGCCCACCGTGCCCGAGCGTGACCAGGCCAGGCAGTTCTACCTGGACGTGAGGCATGATCTGCGGGACTGGGCGGCCTTGTGGTTTGAGGGGAATATCACGTGGGTGGTGAAGCCAGCTGGCAGGAGCAGTGTGAGGCATTTCTTGGTGCCATGCTGCAAGAAGGGAACCACGCGCCGCTGCAGGCTACTCTGCTGAGCTGGTTCCCTGGGCGGTCGCCCGAGCCGATCGTGGCCGAGCTACGTGCCAGCGCCTGGGCGGCAGAGTGCTGGCCGACGGGATGCTCACTTCGCCAGGCCTTTCTTTTCTGGCCACGTCAGAGGAGCGGCTGCGACTAGCTGAGCGACATCAGCGGGAATTGGATGACGTGAGGGCCATGTTCAGCCGCGCTCTCCTCGACTACACGCAAGAGTGACCCTGGGTAAAGAGTGACCTTTGGTGCGCGGCTTTTTGGGGTCCGCGGAGGGGCAGAACACAAGCGCGCAAGACGCCACTGCCGCCTCGCATTCGGCGATCGGGGGAACTCATTGGGCCCGCACCAAAGGCCACTCTGGCGAAAGGTCACTCTTACGTCTAGTCGAACTCCAGAGGCGGCAAGTTGGCCCGACTGGTGCAGCGAGTTCCGCAAGGCTGGTCGTTGAGGAAGGCCCTGCGGCCTCCGCGCCAGCCGAGCATCCATCCAATGAGCGTCGGGCAGCTCAAGGTGACGAGGAGAGGCCGCACGAGCTGATGGACCCCGTCGGCGCCGCCTCCAGCAGCAGCAGCAGCAGCAGCAGCAGCAGCAGCAGCAGCAGCAGCAGCAGCAGCAGCAGCAGCAGCCAAGAGAGACGTCGAGAGCCCCCACGAGGGCCAGCGGCTGCTGAGCAAGCCTGGAGGCAGCACCGAGCCTGGCGGCAATGAAGAGGCGATCCCCACTGGCGTGGCGACTGTGCCCACGCCCGCGCCGCCGGCGGCCTCTGCGATGGTGCTGGCTACAGCTGCGGCAGCCAAGCGTCCTGCCGCGCACGTTTCCCAAGGCGAGCAGCCGCAGCCCAAGGCGCGCAGAACTGCTCATGAGGCTGGGCCGCGGGGCGCCAGTCAGGTACGGCAGATACCGGCTCGACAACGTGAGGGCAGTGACGAGCCCGTGACTGCCCGGGATGAAGTGAATGAGCGGCCGCTGGCCAAGGCGCGTCGTATGTCGTAGGGGCGCGCCTGGAGAGGCAAATGCCCCTCCCTCCCCTCCACCCGCCTCCGATGACCCCGCGGTCGAGGGTGGGCGGGAGGTGGGTGGGTCGGCTGGTGTCAGGACGATCGCGCACGGATCGGGCCATGAGCTCGTTGCGTGCAGACAATTCGAGCTGTGCCGTCTTTGCGGCGCCTGCGTGTCTCGTGCGGCTCGTCGGCTCCAGGCTGACTGTGCAGGCCCCCTGCCCGGCGTCCAGGGTTGCAGCCCCTCAGAGAGGATGCGGCGCAAGAGGCGTGACCTTCTCTTGGCAGGGAAGCACCCGATGACAAGCGTCAGCCTTGGGAGCGCCCCGTAGGCTTTCGGCCTGCCGCGTTGGGCTTTCCTCTTCCTGTCGTCTGGGCGGCCTCTTGGTCGGCGGGTCACGTGGTCCCACTCCCTTGGTGACTCAAGGTGGTGGTACTCTTTAGTACACCCTTGAGCGGACCTCAGTGGTCTCGTGGGGGCAGGCCCCCTGGGCCTGCAGTGACGTACAGGCTGTCACTGGGTTTTGCTTTCGAGCTCTGACCAGGGACTGTCCGAAGGCTGGTGCGCACACCAACACAAGCACAAACACAAACACAAGCACAAACACATGCACAAGCACAAGCACACCACAATAACACGCACAAGCAAACACAAAAGCACAAACACAACCACAAACACAAACACACACGCACAAACACAAGCACACACACGCACAAACACAAGCACACACACAAGCACAAACACAATCACAAATACACAGACACACGCACACACGCACACACGTACACACGCACACATGCGCACGCACACGCGCACGCGCACGCGCACGCGCACGCGCACGAACACGCACACGCGCACGCGCACGCGCACGCGCACGCGCACGCACACGCACACGCACACGCACACGCACACACACGCACACGCACACGCACACGCACACGCACACGCACACGCACACGCCCACGCACACGCACACGCACACGCACACGCACATGCACACGCACACGCACACGCACACGCACACGCACACACACACACACACACGCACACGCACACGCACCCGCACACGCACACACACGCACACGCAAATGCACACGCACACGCACACCCACACACAGAGATAGACAAACACACAGCCACACAGCCACACATATACACCGATACACAGACACACAGGCACACAGACACGCAGGCACACAGACACACAGACAAGAGTACATAGACACACGGACACATAGACACACAGGCAGACAGACACACAGACGAACCGACTCACAGACACACAGACACACAGACACATAGACACACACAGACACACAGACACACAGTCACAAAGACACACAGACACACAGACACGTAGACACACAGACACACAGACACTGAGGCACACAGACACAAAGACATCCGTAGCCATGTTGGCTCAAGGCCATGGAGCACCCGACGACCGCGAGTCGTCCGCGGCGCTCTGAGCGCGAGGGGCTCCGCGCTTTGGGCCAGCTCTCGGGTTCGTGTTCTTCGGACCTCGGGCCTCTGCAGAGAGGCCGCAGTTTTGGGCCGCGAGGCCACTCGACAGAGCCTGCCTTGCCATGGTGGCGCACGGCCAGCCAGCTGGAGGCCGCTCCTGGGCCAGCGTCGCGGCGGGCGGCAAGGCCAAAGGCAGCTGGAGCTACTGGGTCTGCTCCAGCGTGCTGTGCAGGGAGTGGAACTGGTGCTCGCACTGGAAGTGCCGCAGCTGCGGCCGAGTGGCCCCGCCGTGGGTCAAGGCCGCTCAGCCGCCCGCGGCAGCCACTGGCCAGGAGCAGCCCGCCGCCGACGCCGAGGGCTTCGTCGTCCAACCCCGTGGGGGGAAAGCGAGGCGCCAGGCCAAGCGCACTGCTGCCCGCGCGGCCAGCGCGGGGGCCGCCAGTCTGGCAGGCGTCAGCGAGGCTAGCAGCGTGCAGCGTTCGGCCGTCGAGTGGCACCGCCAGGAGGTCAAGCGCATCGAGGACTTCCTCGCGGCCCCTGGCGAGTCCATCGATGAGGCGTGCCTGCAGTCGCTGCGCTCGGCCCTCGACCGCGAGCGTCGCAGGCTCGCGGCAGCAGAGGCGGCGCTGGCGGAGCGCAGGAAGGCCGACACCCCCCTGCCCAAGGCGCTCCACGGCGCTGGCAACGCCCTGGCGAAGCTGGTCAGGCAGGGGCGGGCCAAGGGGCAGGCGCTGCTCAAGGCCGAGGAGGCCCACGCGGCAGCCATCGGAGAGCGTGAGGCAGCCATCGCGCGAGAAGCTGCATGCGCTGAGGCTGTGGAGGAGTGCCGAGCTGCTCTCGAGGCTCACCGTGAGGAGCAGAGGGCCGCAGAGGCCAGGCAAGCCAAGGAGGTCGGCGCGGCCTTCGTCGGCACGGACTTGCTCGGGATGGTCTTCGGCCTCATCCAGCAGGTTGAGGCCTTGCCCCAGGGGTTCTTCGCGGGCAACGGCGAGGCCGCCTTTGCGGAGGTGGCCAAGCAGATTGCGGCAGTCCGCAGGCATGCACCCCCCGAGGCCAGGGGACGCTCTTCCTGGGCCGACACCCCCCTCGACGTCTCCGACGAGGACCTCGACGGGGATAAGGGGGATGGGGTGTGTGCCTCGTCAGGCCCCCCTCTGCAGGACGCTGCCGAGCGCGGCCAAGCAGCACGGCGAGGAGAAGCGCGCGGTGCGTGGCCCTCAGCCCAGCCGCTGGCGAGGGACCTGGCCAACGCTGGCGCAGCCCTCCTCGACGACCAGCCGCTGGTGGCGGCTGCTGTTAGCCATGCTGGTTTGGGCCGCTGTCGGGTTTGACGTTGACTCAGCAGGCCCGCGTTCGGTTGATGGCAGGAGGGTCAGACGGCGCTTCAGTGAACAGGCGCCAGTGGAGCGGGGAGCCCAATGCCTGTCCCTGGACTTGGGCAAACCTGCGAGTACGGCACCTGGCCAAAGGGGAGCGGTGAGGGCCGCCGACGGGTGGGCGGCCGTTGCCCCTCACCCCCCCGCGCTCCCTGTCGAGGCCGCTGACGAGCGGGTGGCCGAGACCCTCGACGGGCGCAGCCAAGCCAAGGTGCCAAGTGACCAGCAGATGAGGATGACGGCACAGGAGGCCTGCATTGGCAAGGCGTGCCTCGGACCGCAGCCCGCCCCTGAGTCCGACCCTCGAGATTCTGAGAGCCGGGTCTGCGAAAGAGCGGGCTGGATCCACAACTGCGTCGCGGGCTTTGCGATGGCCGCCCCGCACTTCGAGGCCAGCCTGCTGATGGACATCCGCAAGCTCTTCGAGCACGTGCGCCGCGACTTCCTCTGGCCGTCCGCCCAGCGCGTCGGCTTCTACCTGAAGTTGCTGCGCGGCCTCCTCGCCATCTTCCAGGCCCCGGGGATCGTGCTGGCAGGAGGCATGGCGTCGGCCCCCCTTGGGGCCAGTGGCGCAGTGCTGGCGGGCTGTGCGTTACCCGACGACGGCCGCGCCTTGGACATGCTGATCTTGGGCCCCCGCGGGCTCGGGCTGCTTGCTGCGGCTGGTGCTCGCAGGGCCTCCGACAGGGCTGAGATGGCGCGGCTTGGGCACGGCGCCGCCCCCGCCATGCCCTTGTTCTGGGACGCCCTCGGCCAGGTCTTCGGCCTGCGCGGCCAGTTCAGCGGCAGGGAGAAGGCGGCCTGGAGGTCGGACGCGATGGCAGTCATGTGGGTGAACAGACCTGCCGTCGGGCTGCTAGGCGGTCGCCTCTACCCCGACGGCTCGACGCTCGACCCTGAGTTCGGATGCTTCCGCAGGGCAGGCTGGGGCATCGTGCAGTGCGACGAGTTCGGCAACCTGCAGGCGGCGGTGCACGGCTCGGTCCGCCTCGACCTGTGCCCTTTCCAAACGGCCAAGGACGGGGGGGACTTAGCGGTCTGGATGCAGAGCCGCTACTTCGGGCCTTCGTTCATCGAGTTCTTCGACTGTGAGTCCACAGTCAGCTGCTTTAAGCTCGGCAGGAGGTATGCGACGGCGGCCTACAAGCCCATCGCTCGGACCTCGGAGGGTCAGTGGCTTGGGTGCGCCCACGCTGACAGGCTGGCGAAGGCGGGAGCGGCCCTCCACAGTGCCAGCGCGTCTGCCAGGAGCGAGTTCTTCGGCGCGAAGGAGGTGGTGCGTGGGCTCTCCATGTGGATCGCGCAGGTTTCGATCGCCTGGCAGGGCAGGGCCCCCAAGGACTGCGAGGGCCTCCCCGTGTGCGTCGTACGATGGACGGCTGCCTCCGTCGCAGTCCCGCTGGGGGAGCGTGTTGACGGTTTGGGGGCGGCTCCCGTGTGCGTGTCGGACGCAGCGCCCGCCGCCGTGGAGGCCCGCGGGGAGCAGTCAGGCAGCCGCCCCGCCGCTGCTGGCGCCTGGGCCTCGGCTGCACGCGACGGCGGAGTCGCGCTGGGCGCCCTGGTCTTCGCCGTCGCTGGCCGCGCCCTCGCGTTCGCCAGGTGCGGTGAGGGCGGCGACGAGCAGGAGATCATGGCTTGCACCAAGTGCGGAGCATATGCGAGGCTAGGCGGACGCCCTGGCCCGCAGCCCAAGCTCAGGGAGCGCTGTCCTGGGGCAACTGGCCTCCCCAGGTCGCTGCGTGACCAGAAGTCGCGGTGGGAGCGTGGCCTCCACCCTGGAGGCACGCCGCTCGCCCGCGACACGCGGAGGAAGGGGGCGGAGACCCCTCGTCTTCGGAATGAGGCTGAGGTGCCGCAGGACGCCAGAGTGCGCTTCCTGAAGTGGCTCGGTGTTCAGCCTGACGCACCAGCAGGCGTCGCGAGCAGCGCCTCGGCGGCTGGCGCTGCTGGGAGCGGCGCAGGTGGGGCTGCCTCCTCGTCGGCTGAGGTGCCCGCTGCGGCTGGTGGCACCGCAGAGGGAGTGGGCTCGCGGAAGGCCTGGCTGGATGCTCGCGGCTTCGACGAGGAGAGCCTGCTGAGCTGGTCAGAGGAGGCCGAGGAGGCCCGACTCGAATGCCAGAGCAGGAAGCGACGCAGAGATGACGGAGATGGAGGTGATTGAGCCCGCGCTGGCCCCAGCCTTGGGGCGCTCGATGCGCGCGATCTCGCGTGCGCCGAGCCTTGGACGCTCCTGGCTGTGGAGCGCCAGCCTGCCTCTCCCCTGTCCTTCCCTTGGGTTCCGTCTCCCGTCCTCCTGTTCTCTTTGGACCCCTGGTGGCCGCGGGCCTCTGCGCGTGGGCGTGAAGCTTCCTGTGCCTCGCCCGCCTCGCCGCGCCGCTCGGGGCTGTGCAAGCATGTTTGGGGCGTCGCCCGTCGCGTGCATGCATGCTTGTATAGATTCCAGCGCTTCGCGCTGATGCCCCTCGACGGGGGCCTGAGCTGACTGGCCGAGCGGTGCCTCGGGGCCGATGTGCCCTGATGGCAGCCTTCTGCGGCTCTGACGGGCCGAGCGGTGCCTCGGGGCCGATGTGCCCTGGTGGCCGCCCTCTGCGGCTCGTCTGGGCTCTCGGGATCCCTTGTGGCCCGCCCCCTGTCTTGGGATGACCTCTTGTTGCTTTGGCCCCTCAGTGGGGTCTGAGCCCTTGGAGGGCTTCTTTTTAGCCTTTATAGGCCCCGCGTCAACAGACACAAAGGCACACAGACACAGAGACACACAGACACACAGACACGTAGACACACAGGCACACAGACACACAAACACATAGACAGATAGACACACACATACACCCACATACACCCACAGAAACACAGAGACACACACAGACACAGGCACAAGCACAGACACCGACACACGCACATATACACACAGAAACACACACGGAGACACACACTGAGGCACACACACAGGCACACACACAGAGACACGCACAAAGACGCACACAGAGACACACACAGAAACACACACAGACACACACACACAGAGAAACACACAGACACACACAGACACACACAGAGACACACACACAGACACACATAGACACACACAGACATACACAGACACACACACAGGCACACACAGACACACACACACAGACAGAGACAGACACACACACAGACACACACACAGACACACACAGACACGCACAAACACACACAGACACACACAAAAACACACAGACACACACAGACACACCCAGACACACAACACACAACACACAACATACACACACACGCACACACGCACACACGCACACACGCACACACGCACGCGCATGGGCACGCGCACGCGAACGCACACGCACAGACAGGCACACATACACACAGACACATAGACGGGCACACAGACACACAGAGACACACAAGCACAGACACAGACACGCATATGTACACACAGACACACGGACACACAGACACACAGACACACAAACATACAGACACACAGACACAGACACATAGACACACAGACACACAGACACACAGGCAGACAGACACACAGATACACACTGACACACAGTCACACAGGCACACAGAAACACAGAAACACAGACACACAGACACACACACACAGACACACAGACACGTAGACACACAGACATACAGACACACAGACACATAAACACACAGACGCACAGACACACAGGCACACAGAACAGACACACAGACACACAGGCACACAGGCAAACAGACACACAGACACACACACAGACACACAAACACGCAGACACGCACAGACACACACAGACACACACAGAGAGACACACAGAGAGACACGCACAGAAACACACACACGGAGACACACAGAGACACACACAGACACACACAGACAGACACACACACAGGCACACACAGACACACACAGACAGACACACACAGACACACACACAGACAGACACACACAGACACACACACACACAGACACAAACATACACACAGACACAGACAGGCATACACAGACACATACACACAGAGACACACACAGGTACACACAGACACACACAGGCAGACACACACACAGACACACACAGACGGATACACACAGACATAAACATACACAGGGACACGCACAGGCACAGGCACAGACAGACACACACAGACAGACACACACAGACACACACACACACACAGACACACCGACTGACACAGACACACACAGACACACACACACAGCACATAACACACAACACACATGCGCCCCCAGTGGCAGACGGAGGTGGCAGGGGCATGTAAAAAAACAATCCTTGGAGAGCTCGCTTAAGGGGCGGGAGCGAAAACGATCTCGTGTGTGACGCCACGGCGGCACATGTTGCCACGGGGAAAGGGAGTAGGGAGGAGAGGGATCAGGAGGAGGAGGAGGAGGAACAGGAGGAGGAGGAGGACGAGGAGGAACAGGAGGAGGAGGAAGAGGAGGAGGAGGAGGAGGAAGAAGAGGAGGATGAGGAGGCCTCTGCCCGGCTCACAGGTACATGCCCTCTGGAATGTTGCCCTTCTTCTTGTAGAGCGCTTTCTCCTTTGCCTTCCGCATGTCTGCCTGCGTCACCTATCGACGCCGCCGCCTCCTTCTCCTTTCCCGCTTATCCCTCCTCCTTCCTCCTGGTCCCTTTCCTCTTTCCTCCTCCTCCGCCTTCAGGAGAAGGAGGAGGAGGGAATGGGAATGCGGAGATGGAGGAGGCAACGGCGGAGCAGGAGGATGAGGGGGAGGAGCACTTCCAGGACGAGTGGGAAAACGAGGACGATGGGGAGAAAAAACGCGGACCAGGAGCACGAGAACGAGGCGAGGAGGGGGGAGGTGTGGAAGACGCCCTGGGATGGGAGAACAACTTGGTAAGCAAAAAACAAGGGAGGTGCCGTGACCTTCCGTTGACACGATCCCTCTACCGAACTCCTGGTCCTGCCCCTCCTCGCCTCGTTCCTTACTCCTTGCCCAGTCCTGGAGTCGGGGGCTCAAGCTGCAATGACTATTTCGCTCTGTGAGGTTTGCGTCTGACCACTGGATACACGTCTGAAGCGTAATTACCACTCAAACAAGTGCGAGCCAGACGTCTTCCTCGTCGCCATGAAGCCCAAGCCGTTTCTGGTGCTCGCCTGCATCATACTTGTCCACAGACCACTATCCTTCCTCCTTCACTCCAAGTCCTCCTCCCTCTGTTTCTGCCCCTCCTCGTCATCGCCATCTTCCTCCTCCTCCTCCTCCTCCTCCTCCTCCTCCTCATCCGCCTCTAGCACTCCTCCCGCTCCCGATCCCCCTCCTGCCCTTTCCCCCTACTGCTGCTGCTCATTCTCCTCATGGTCACCAGCCCGACTTTCCTCCTCCTCCTCCTCCGCCTCCTCCTTCTCCTCGTCCCCCTCCTCCTCCTCCTCCCCCTCCCTCCTCCTCCTCCTCCTCCTCGGCCTCCCCCTTCTCTCTCTCTCCTCCCTATACCCCTCCTCCTCCTCCTCTCCTCCGCCTCCCCCCTTTCTCCTGCTCCCCCTCCCTATACCCCTTCCTCCTCCTCCTCCTCCTCCTCCTCCTCCTCCTCCTCCTCCTCTGCTCCTCCTCCTCGCCTCGTCTCCCTCGTCCTTCTCGTCCCTCCGTCCTGCCTCCGCGGCCTTCCTGCCCTGTGCCGCCGGCCTTCATCCGGCGCTCGCGCAGCGCCAGCATGCCGGCCTGTGGCTGGGGGGGGAGGCTCCTCGAGGAGCAGAGGAGATTGAAAGAGGGAGGAGGAGGCGCAGGGAAGAAGGGGAAACAGGAGGGAGGAGCAGGAGGGAAGGAGGGAGGGAGGAGGAGGAGGTGGAGGAGGAGGAGGAGGAGGAGGAGAGGGAGAAGCCGAGGAGGGTGAACAAGGAGGAGGGGGAGGAGGCGAGGAGCGATGAGGGCGAGGAAGCGAACGTCGCCGATGGGACGAGGATGAGGAGGGATGATAAGGAGGAGGGAGGAGAGGGATGAGGAGGACCAGTGTAAACCCAAGACGCATCAACGATGTTGCAATAAACCCTCCCTCCAAATTCACTCTTGATAGGTCCCTGCAAGGATGTAGTTCATTGCGGGACATGCCTCAATGAAAAACAACCGTCTGCGAATCCTCAGTCGTGCCATCGATTCAACATGACTGTAGCGTCCAAACAACCTAAATTCTGCCAAAACGCAGTTCCCGGAACTTGACCCGTCAGGGACACATTTACGGCGACACAATTCCTGGAATCTGAACACCGCGAATCAAATTGATTGCGGCCATCCATCCTTGAAGCTGCAGCAAACGTTTAGAGCGAATGCGCACAGCGATGAAGTAAGAACAACAGGTTGACCACCGCCCACCCTCCATCCTTGAACCTGGTCCGACCTGCCAACACGTCCGGAGTGGGGCAGGGAGACTCACAAGGGAAGGGTATAGATTAGGAAAAGGAGGAGGAGGAGGAGGAGGAGGAAGAAGGAGAAGGGGGAGGCCCAGCTAGGTGCAGTCGCGCCATATCTGACATCTTAGCCCTCCCGCCCATCCTTTCCCATTGCCTACGTGCAATCGCGCCATATCTGACATCTTAGCGCTCCCGCCCATCCCTTCCCATTGCCTAGGTGCAACAGCGCCATATCTGACATCCTACCCTTCCCGCCCATCCCTTCCCATTGCCCTGATTGTTTTGCCTCCTCCGACGGGTGTCCTTGCGGACCTGAATCCCCCAAGTGGCCCCAGCCTGACGCGCAATCTGAAACGGGAGCTGTGCACACTGGAGGAGGATGCGGCGCGTGAGCGAGAGGATGCGCAGGAGGAGGAGGAGGAGAAAGCGGAGGACGGGGAAGGGCGACGAGGAACAGCAGCAGGAGCAGGAGAAACGGAAGGAGCACGATGACCAGGAGAAGGCGGAAGCGGGGAACCTCTGAGGGCGACAAAACGCCAGGGGCTCCGGGCCCAGAAGCGTGGCCCGCGCGGGGGCGTCCGCGCCGCTCCCGACGACGGGAGAGCGAGGCGCCGAGGCCCGAGAGCAGGGGGCCGCCGCTGCGACGCGGGAGCGCCAGGCAGTTTGTTGTTTTTTGGGGCCTGCGGGTCGAGGGCGAACCTCTTCCGGTAAAAAGCTGGGCGGGCTGCGCAAAGCTCTACTCCCAGACCCCCTCGAGTAGTGACAAAAATCACGACGGGAGGTTTTTCGCCATTTTCGGCCTCTGGGGGCCCTCACCGGGCCTCGGGAGCGTCAAAAAACGACTCAGGATGACAAACCGGTCCCGGGGAATGGGTCCCGACCTCTGGGGGTCGCGTCATGAAAAAATCATGACGTCGGGGGTCTGGGATTGGGGAGACAGAGCGCGGGCGGGCGGGGCCTCAGGCGGCCGCAGGGCGGGCCGGGGTGCAGGCGGTGCCGAGGAGCTTGCACAGGAAAAGGAACGCCTTGGACAGGAGCCGGAGGCGACGGGAGCACCAGACAGGGCACCCCGCATCCGCTCCGGCTGGACGTGCCGAGAGGAGCCATCCGTGACGGAAGCTCCGTGCGCCAGGAAGCGAACAAGAAGAGGTGCGCGGGAGATGCGGCGGCCCCTCCCGCACAGTGAGTTAGCCAGGATCGAAGAAAGCAGGATCCACGTGGGCCAGCTGCACAAGAGGGCGGCGAGGGCGTAGGAGGAAGGAAGCTCGGTTGGGCTGCCCACGAAGGAAGGGGTCAAGCCCTCTCTGCCGACTGAGCGCCGAGCCCTCTGGGGCCCGGCGCTCGCGGAGGAGGGGGGAGAGGAGGGAGGAACACTACGAGGAGCATGAACAGTGAGAGAGGGGGCGAGGGGTGACGGGCGAGCGAGCGAGGGGACAGGCAGGGGCCGTGTCGACGAGGGCGGTCGGCGGCTGGCAGGCGGAAGGAGGGGGGAAGGCAGCGGCGAACAGCAACGGCGGGCGGCGGACGGACGGGCAGCAGCACGCGCAGGAGGCAGAGGCGGAGAGAAGAAGAAACAAAGAAAGGAGGACGGGATGGGGGATGGCGGAGGAGGGAGCGGGATCGGACCTGGGGGACCGCCCGGCTGCTGCCGGACAGAATCAGCACAGGGGGGGGGGACCCCTGGGTGGCGAAGCCTGAACGTGGCCACACCTGCTAGTAGGGCCGCGTGTCTCACGATGGGGGTGGTCGCCAGACCTCCTCGAGGTCACTCTTCCTTTCTTCCCCCTCTTCGAGGCCGACAGCGAAACCGTAACCAGCCGACGCCAAATCAGCCAGAAGCAGGCCAGAAGGGCGAAGCGGCGCGGCAACGGCAACAGCCGGCCGAGCCAAACTGTCCTGTTGCTTCCCTCTCCTCCTCCTCCTCCTCCTCCCTCCCTCCTCTCCCGTGTCCCACGCGAAGGGCCCCCCGACCTGCCCGGCAGTCCACGCGCTATGGGCCGCAGCAAGACAATTATCGTCCTCCTCCGTCTTTCTCTTCTTCTGTATCTCTTCCTCCTCCTCCTCCTCCTCCACCTCCTCCTCCTCACTATTGTTCCCGTGCGAAGCGTGTGAGGGACGGTCCTCCTCCTCCTCCTCCTCCTCCTCCTCCTCCTCGTCCTTCACCTCATCCCCGTCGTCCTCCCTCCTCCTCGCCCTCGTCCTCGTCCTCCTCCTGCTTCTCCTCCTCCTCCTTCTCCTCCCTCCTCCTTCTCCTCCTCCTCCTCCTCCTCCTCCTTTTCCTCCTCCTCCTCCTCCTCCTCTTAGTCCTCCTCCTTTTCCATCTCGGAACTGGCGATGGGCGAAACGAGACCGTCCTCTGGCCCCCTGGTCCTCCGCCGCCTCCGCCTCCTCCTCCTCCTCCTGCTCCTGAACTTCCTCCTCCTCCCCCTGCTCCTCCTCCTGCTCCTGCTCCTCCGCCTCCTCCTCCTCCTCCTCCTGCTCCTCCCGCGCAAAACGTGTGGGAGGCGGAACAAGACGACTTCCTCCTCTACTTCGTCCCCTCCCCCTCCTCCCCCTCCTCCTCCTGCTCCTGAACTTCCTCAGCCTCCACCTCCCGCGCAAAACGTGTGGGAGGCGGAGCAAGACGAATTACTCCTCTACTTCTTCCCCTCCCTATCCTCTCCTTCCTCTGCGCAACGTGTGACGGGTGCAACAAAACGGTACTCCTCCCCCGTTTTGGTTCTCGGCTGGAGGCCTCGTTCTCACCTGCAGGTCTTGCCCGCCCAGGAAGCAGCTTCCTCCTCCTCCTCCTTCTCCTCTTTCTCCTCTTTTTCACCGGAATAATGATTTTCATTACGAACACCTCATCATCTCATCGCATTATCGCCGCCACCATCACCATCATCACCATCACCATCACCATCATCATCACCATCACCATCACCATCATCATCATCATCATCATCATCATCATCATCATCATCATCATCATCATCATCATCATCATCATCATCATCATCATCATCATCATCATCATCATCATCATCATCATCATCATCATCATCATCATCATCATCATCATCATCATCATCATCATCATCATCATCGTGATCATCATGATCATCATGATCATCATGATCATCATGATCATCATGATCACCATCATCATCAGCATCGCCATCATCATCATCATCATCATAATCATCATCATCATCATCATCATCATCGTCGTCATCATCGTCATCATCATCATCATCAGCATCATCATCAGCACATTGTGACTAAATACTGCGAGCGACACGTCTGAACCCAAGACGAATCATCCTCGTGCAGCGCACAGCCATGACGCTACTTTATTCATCACCGGTGCTGTATCCAAAGGAACTCTGCAGCAGGGCAGCGAGCAAAGGAACAATTAAGAAGCAATTGCAAATTGAGCGTCCTAGTTCATCCCGAAACCCGGGTGTTGTGTAGGATCCCCGCGTGGCCCTGGCTGAGCCTAAAACAGACTTAGCCAGCGCGCCGCACAATCAGCGGGGATATGCTTGTGCAATCTCGGTCCAGTTCAGCCCCCCAGACCCAAATCCTCGAACATAAAGTGGAACTTTCCCGAGCGGCTGGAGGTTCTCCTACTGGTGCAGCGAGCGACGACGGAGATTCATTAAGTCCAAGGGACGGCGTTCACCTATCAGCAAGTCAGTCGACTTGCGCCATGAAGCAACGAACTGGCAAACATCTGGACGATTTCGGAAACCCTGATGAAAAAAAACAAATCTCTTGGGGGCACATCTTTCACTTCCGCCGCAAGCTTTCCGCCGGCTTCCGCTGGCGGAGGCGGGCTCGGTTTACTTCCGCCGACCTTCCGCCGCTCTTCCGCCGTTTTCCGCCGAGGAAGAAATCGCAACTTGTTCGACCCTCAAGGGCGAGGCCCTTCTTGGAACGCCTCATCTACAGACACACTTATTGAATCGCTTCGCTCACTCCGCCGGCCCATGTTGTATCAGTGTTGCTATATGTTCCTCCTCCTCCTCCTCCTCTTCCTCCTCCTCCTCCAGACACCACTTGCTGGAGCTCGGCGGCTCATAGCCTGAGGAGGTCAACATTCGTCTTGCTTCACATGTGACCAGACCTCCCCCGTCCCGCCCCCCGCACACCCCCATGTCGAGCCTCGGTGCAGATCGCCTTGATGTCCGCGCCGCTCAGGTCGTCCTTCGCGACCTTGGCGCGTTTCGGCCGCTCAGGTCCTCCTCCTTCTCGTCCTCGTCCTCGTCCTCCTCCTCCTCCTTCTCCTCCCCTTCCTCCTCCCCTTCCTCCTCCTTCTCTTCCGTTTTCCCCATTCCTCCTCGCTCCCCCCCCTCCTATCTGGCTATCTGCCACTGCCCCCTCTTTGATGATGATGGCGAGGATGGGGATCACGGTTAGAGGCCCAAAGGCGGAGAGCCAGAGGCGCAGACGAGGGGAGCCAGAGGCTAAACCAGTGGAGAGCCAGAGGCTCAGACGAGGGGTCTGGACCAGAGGCTCAGACAGCGGAGAGCCAGAAACTCTGAAGGCGGAGAACCAGAAGCCCAGACGTCTGCAACAAGAGGCCTGGCCGTGACAGAAGCTCGGCCATTGCATTCCGCCCCTTTCTTCCGCCCAGTTGTTCCTGTCGCTTGTTCTTTCCCGTTCGTTCCTCTTCCACGCAGCTTTCTGGTTCAAACGAGAGTGTAAATTCAAGAAAGTCCGACAACTTGCAACTACCCACGCCTACGAGTCCCGCCACGTCGCGGAGGTGGATGCGCTCGGCCGTCTGGGTGAGCACCCCCTGGGGCGATATCGGATATGGCATCGCCGATTAATGTGCGCGTGTCCTCGGGGACCGCGGCAACTGGCTATATCTGTCGAGCTGCCCCACCGCACCCGTGCTGCTGGGGGGAACGGCGTCGTATCGCCAAGCGGGCCACAGTGTGATGAAGATCTTCTCTTGGGTTCCCGTGTCAGGACATTTCTTTGTGATTTCAACCAATGGCGCGTGCGCGGGCCAATCTGTGGCCCCGCAAAGCCGTGCTGATTACAGCGACAAGGGGGAGAACCCTCTTCGCTCCAGTGCGTATCGTTTCAAGGCTTACTATCAGCATTTGAGGTTGTCGCATGGCAAAGTGTCCCACGGCTCGGAATTGTGGGCAATCGTGGAGTACGCCCGAACAGACGCACTGGGACAATCCTTCAACACAAAATCACGCAGTGTTGCGACGGCCTGTGGCCTGAGCTGCGCGCCAACATCCCAGACAGCATTCCTACTTCCGACTAAGAGCGTTGCCGCACGCACTTGTGGGCCAGGGTGTGGCGCATGCGGAGGTCAGGCAATGACAGGCTCCAACAATTTGGCAGAACCGTCCGCGCAATCCGAAACGCTCCGCGTTAACTGCTGCGCACGTTTACACTTGTGGCCACGGACTTCGCCGCCAACGCTTCAGCCGATAACTCCATTTTGACCAGAAACCGTTGTCGACCCATGTAATGCTACATGTATTGAAGACTCGGGTCTTGAAAGTTAATGCAGTATAACGCGAGAGCCGTTCTCCTTCATTTGGAGCTGCGGCGAGCTGCTAAAACGATTGTGCGCGGCGCCGAAGCTAGAGCCCCATTGTGAGAATGACCCGCCTTACATCCTGAACGTTTTTTTTCATCAGAAGCGCATGTGAGCGGCGCTACCGCGAGAGCCACACTTCGATCAGGAACCGCCCCCCGTCCATGACGCTCTTGCAAGCTCTAAGACGAATATGCGCGGCGCGGAAGCGACTGCCCCTATTTGGAAACAACCCACCCTCCATCTCGAACCTGCTACCAACTTAAAAAAAACGAACGTGCGCGGGCGAGTGCTCTATGTTGAAAACAATACGCCTGTCGTCCCTGAGTCAGGTACGGCATGCTGAAACACATGTTCGCGTCGCTCGCGCGAGTGCTCTATTTTGAAGACGGGCCCGCCCTCCATCCTCAACGTTGTTGCAAACTTTCAAAACACATGTGCTCGGCGCCAGGACGAGACCGATATTCTGAACATGACCCATCATCCTCCATCCTTGAAGCTGTCACGAATGTCAAGCTTAATGGTCAGAGAAGGCGAGGAAGTCTCCGGCGAACCGCCCGATGCGCCCTGGTAGAATCTCCTGGGGATGCGACGTGGCGGAATCGCAAGGAAAAGGAATGGAGGAAGAGCATCGAAGAGGAGGGAAGATGAGGAATGGAGGAGGGAGGGAAGAGGAAGAGGGAGAGGAGGAGGATAGGGAAGAGGGACGGAGGCATGATGGAGGAGGAAAAGGAGGATCAAGGAAGAAGGAGGGGGGAAGTAGGGAGGCGGAGACCCTCGACGACCCCTGTGGGGGGGGCGTGGGTAGCGGCAACGGGCAATGAGCTGAGCCTGCGACGACAAACTCCTCCAGGTTAACGTCCTCGCTGAGCGTCATCTTGCCTCGAGGTCAAAGCGGAGGATGTGGAGGGGGAGGCAGGGAGAGGTCGAGAGGGCAAGAGAGGGGAGGGAGGTACAAGTGGGCGAGAGGGAGGGGGGGGGAAGAAAGAAAGGACTAAAGGAGGAAGTCTGCTGCTGCTCGTGTTCCCTGTTGCTCCTCCGCCTCCTCCTCCTGCTGCTCGTCTTCTCTGCCCTCTTCCTAACAGCGGGGGGCCAGGAGTATCTGGAGGAGCGGTGCGAAAAGAGGGATGAGCGTGGGGAATAATAAAGGAGGCGGAGGAGGGAGAAGGAGGATTGAGGAGGATGAAGGCGGGAAGAACAAAGCAGGGAACGGGGGAACGGAGGGGGAGGACCCCCCGAAGCACCCTGGGACCCTCGCAAAGGCATTGAACAGCATCAGAAGCTTCCCATTCCCTGCTCAGCCTCCCGACCTCCTCCGCCTCGTCCTCCAGGGCCTTCGGGGCGACTTGTCGGCAGCGTCAGCTCCTCCTCCAACTCCTCCTCCTTCTTCTCCTCCTCTTTCCCAAGACGGATGCTGCTCTCGTTAAAAGCCATCATGCGCCCGCCAGGGAAATGCTGGCCGCAGCAAAACCCGTGGCGCGACCAACGGGTATTGGTCAGTCAGTCGGAAAACCGTGCGGGCTCCCCCCGAGACGCTCCAATCTGCCCGCTCCCCACCATAAGAAGGAGGGCGAGGAGGAGGAGGAGGAGGAGGAGGAGGAGGAGGAGGAGGAGGAGGAGGAGGAGAGGCAGAATGAGGTAAAGAGGAGGGGGAGAATGGAAGAACTGACAGGAGAGGAAGGACAACTGATGGTCGGCATGCTGCATCACATCCGCCAACCGACGCAATCAAACAGCTCTGCTCCTTCTTTGCCCTTCGTACCACATGGCCCACCTTTCATACCAGAGGCCGCCACCGATACGAACGATAAGAAGTGATGGGCAAATCTTGACATGCACACTACCGCGTGGAACCCCATCGCGTGGGGCAATGACTCGGGCAGGCGGGTCGGGTGAGCGTACCCAACGGGCGGGTCAGGCGGACTCTTTCGAGCGGGACGGGTGGGCGGATCGGGCCAGGCGGAACTCATGGCGCATAACACCAATGCGTGGCGCCCTATCACGTGCGACCTCGTGGGAGCGCCGCTTCCTCTATGCACGGCGACCGGGGTCAGAGGCTGCCCCGCGCGGCGCGGTATCATCAAGATGACGAGGGGCAACGAGACGCAGACCAAACTGTCATTGAGACTCGAATGGTTCTTGATATACGGATATTCGGTGGATGAATTTTGTTTGGGGGCCAATGGTTTTCGAGCGATTTCGCCAGTGCGCGTGTGAAACAACGAGTCGATCCCGGACGCCATTACCCGACGCGTGGCCCAAAGTGTATATTTGTTGACCCTCCCGCCCAGCCTAGAGTGAGGCCAAAGGTAATACTCATAATCGTATACCTGAACGGGGATCGAAAGTTTATACATATTCACGATCCGCGCAAATGACTCGAGGGAGGGGGGGAGGTGACAATGGCCACCAGTCGGCCCAAGAATGCATGAGTGATGCGGCCACGCCCCCCCCGTCCCAAGCCCCTCCCGCCCCCCTGGGCATCGATCCGCGCACATAACTCGAGGGAGAGGGGGGAGGTGACAATGGCCACCAGTAAGCCCAGGATGCAGGAAGGAGGCGGCGACGCGCCCCCCCGTCCCAAGCCCACCCCACCCGGCATCGCTCCGCGCAAATAACTCGAGGGAGGGGGGGAGGTGACCATGACACTGCCAGGTCGGCCCAGGATGCAGGAAGGAGGCGGCGACGCGCCCTCCCGTCCCAAGCCCAACCACCCCCTGGCATCGATTAGCGCACATAACTCGAGGGAGGGGGGAGGTGACAATGGCCTCCAGTCGGCCCAGGATGATGCATGAAGGATGCGGCCACGCACCCCCCCGTCACAAGCCCAACCCCCCCCCGCATCGATCCGCGCAAATAACTCGAGGGAGGGGGGAAGTGACAATGGCCACCAGTCGGCCCAAGAATGCATGAGTGATGCGGCCACGCACCCCCCCGTCCCAAGCCCACCCCCCCGGCATCGATCTGTGCAAATAACTCGAGGGAGGGGGGAGGTGACAATGGCCACCAGTCGGCCCAAGAATGCATGAAGGATGCGGCCACGTACCCCCTCGTCCCAAGCCCAACCCCCACTGGCATCGATCCGCGCACATAACTCGAGGGAGGGGGGGAGGTGACAATGGCCACCAGTCGGCCCAGGATGCATGAGAGATGCGGCCACGCAACCCCCCGTCCCAAGCCCAACCACCCCCCGGCATCGATCCGCGCACATCACTCGAGGGAGGGGGGGAGGTGACAATGGCCACCACGCACCCTCCTGTCCCAAGCCCCCCCCCGGGCATCGCTCCGCGCAAATAACTCGAGGGAGGGGGGGAGGTGACAATACCCACCAGGTCGGCCCGGGATGCAGGAAGGAGGCGGCGACGCGCCCTCCCGTCCCAAGCCCCCCCCCCGGGCATCGATCCGCGCACATAACTCGAGGGAGGGGGGGAGGTGACCATGACACCGCCAGGTCGGCCCAGGATGCAGGAAGGAGGCGGCGACGCGCCCTCCCGTCCCGAGCCCCCCCCCACCGCCCCCGGGCATCGATCCGCGCAGATGCCTCCTCGCCTCCGCGGCGGAGGAGGAGGAGGAGGAGGAGCGGAGGAGGAGGAGGAAGGAGGAGGAGGAGGAGGAGGAGGAGGAGGAGGAGGAGGAGGGGGAGGCCGAGCGCCCCCTCGCAGGACGAGCGCCCCCACGGGGCCTGCCGCTCTTGCGAACGCCCCGCCTCGAAAGGAAGCCGCGCTTCCATCTCTCCGGCGATGCGACATGGCAGAAGCAGGAGCACAATTTCCAAGGGAATGTCCAACGAGCCCTTCGTTGGACGACGACCGCCGTCCATCCGTGCAACGGCTGCTCCCCCGGCACAGTGCCGGGAGCCGGCCCAGAAGAACCTCCTGAGCGAGAGCCCGGGGCTGACACGCATGCGCGCCCCCGACCATGCACATGTGGCACCACTCTGAGGCTCATGCTTAGCATCATGAGGAGATGTCGCGGAAAAAGGGGAGGAGGAGGAGGAGGAGGAGGATGGGGGAGGAGGAGCACGAGGAGGAGGAGGAGGAGGAGGAGGAAGGAGGAGGAGGAGGAGGGAGGAGGAGGAGAGGGGAAGGAGGGGGAGGAGGAGGGAGGAGGAGGGAGGAGGAGGAGGAGGAGGACCCATTCTGGGAGAGTGCCGTCTTCCGTCCGCGTCGCAGCTGGAGAACGAACCACCGCGCCCCCCCTGCCAGGCCGAGGCGCCGCAGGAGCGCCGCGCGCTGCTCTTGAGGCGTCTCTCCTGCAGGTGCTCTGCGGCTCTCCCCCCCCCTCCTCCTCCTTCCTCCTCCTCCTCCTCCTCCTCCTCTCCTCCTCCTCCTCCTCCTCCTCCTCCTCCTCCTCCTCCTCCTCCTCCTCCTCCGTCCATACTACTCCCTCCTCCCCCGCCCTCCCCGCACTGCACTTCGCTGCATGCCAAAACAGGGCCAGGATCGGGATAAATCGCTCCAGAGCGTTCCGGAGCGCTCCCAGAGCGTTCCGGAACGCTCCAGAGCGGCCGCGGCGCCCAATACATCCTCCAAACCCGCCGATTCTCAGAGATTTTGGGTTATCCCGATCCGATTTTGTCCCGATCTTCGCGTCGTTTTATGCACTTCGCTGCATGCCCCCGCCTCTCCGTCGCAGCAGGCGCGTGAGCCAGGCCCGCGCTCGCGATGGCACGATGCCGGCAACCAGCGATCGACCCGCGCTCCCGGGGCCACGAGCCCTCGTGGGAGACTCTCTACGCTCCCGGAGCCCCGCTTCCCTGCCAGCGCGTGGTGGTCCTCGCCCCGAGCTTGCACTCGACGGCCGAGGCAGGCAACCTGGGCTGCCAGGATGGCCCCATATGCGTTCACGACGGCGCAAGAGGACCCCCATGCGGCCCACGATGGACCCAAGACGGCCTACGAGGCCCCCCAGACGGCCAGAGAGAGCCAGATAGCCACGAGAGGATCCCCAGTAGGGCGAGGAAACCCAAACCATTTGCGCGATTTGCGCGTCGTCATCTTTTCGGGCGTCCTTCAGCTCCCGACGGCCATAGAGGTCTTCAAGTTGGCCGCAAGATGGCACAGGAGCCCCCAAATCTGCCAATCATCCTCCAAGACCACCTCAAGACAGCCCAAGCGAGCCCCTAGACGGCACCCCGAGCTGGCTCACGAGGGCCCCAGGAAGGACCCAATATGGCCGTAGAGAGCCCCTCGATGGCCCAAGATGGCCCCATGACGGCTGCAAGACTCCCCCTGGACGGGAAAGAGGGCCACAAGACGGCCCACAATGGCCCAAGGGACCCCCAAGACTTGCCACAGGAGCCCAAAACGGCCCCAACACGACCCGAATGAGCTCCATAAGAGCTCTTCACGAAATGGAGGCAAAAGGTGTCAGATTTGACGGCCGTCCTCCTTCTCTTTCTCTTCCTTCTCATCATCATCACCAGCGACATCGTCATCAACATCATCGCCATCATCGCCATTATCGTCATCATCGTCATCATCGTCATCGCCAACACCATCGTTATCAGCATCACCATCCTCATCACCATGATCACCATCATCATGTCCTTCATCCCAATCGTCCGCCACGGCCATCCTCCTCCTCATCCTCTCCGTCTCCTCCTCCTCCTCCTCTCCCTCTTTCTCCTTCTCATCATCATCACCTTCATAGTCGTGTCCAACATCGATATGACGCGGAATAACATTTCACGTGTTAAGGCCATCCTCAGCCTAAGAACACGAGGTGTCACACGTTCTGGCTTCCGTCAATCGCCATCGAAGGTGCTGGGCTGGCACGGTGGCAGGACTTGCTGCAGGCAGCTAGTATGTATAAAGAGTCCAGCGTGCACGACGCTCAGGCTGGAGTCACATTTTGAACATTATCTTACTTCCATCCAAATTCGTACACAATGCACACGCGAATACAAGGAAACAGGACAAGTGCGCGCAAGTTGTGCCGAAAGCTGGCGCAAAGGCGGTTCGGGCCTGTATGGATCTGGAAGATGCGGCGCTTTGTCTTCTCGTCTGGCAACGGGAACTCGATTTTGCGGTCAATCCGCCCTGGACGGATCATGGCTGGGTCCAACGACTCGATGCGGTTGGTCGCCATGATCACCTGAGACAGGCGGGATAGCCTGCTGAAGACAGATCTCCAAGCATCTGAAACCCCCCCCTCCCCTCCCCCTTCCCCTCCTCCTCCCTCCTCCCCCTTCCCCCCTCCTGCCCCTGCTCCCGCTCCCACCTGCCCGCGCACCAGCCCGTGTACAACGATCGCAGAGATGCCCGGGTGCTGGAGGCACCGGGCCAGGTTTCCCCCCTCGAGTTCTAGATTGGCACGGCCTTCGGGCCGATCGGGAGCAGCGTGGCGCACCTCTGCACACCACACCGAAGGGACATTCTGAGAGCAGACCGCAGCCTGGAGCTGCCACCTCCTCGAACCTCTTGTGCCCGAGAGGCTGCGCCGCCTGCTCCACGGGAAGCCGGGGCCCCTGCAGAAGCCCACCCACCGCCGCCGCTGTCGGCGTCGCCGTGGTCGCCATCGCTGCCACAGCCTCCGCCGCCGCTGCCATCGCCGCCGCCGCCGCCGTTGTCGTCCTCGTCGTCGTCGTCGTTGTCGTCGTCGTCGTCGTCGTCGTCGTCGTCGTCGTCGTCGTCGTCGTTCTCGTCGTCGTCGTCGTCGTCGTCGTCGTCGTCGTCGTCGTCGTCGTTCTCGTCGTCGTCGTCGTCGTCGTCGTCGTCGTCGTCGTCGTCGTCGTCGTCGTCGTCGTCGTCGTCGTCGTCGTTGCGCAGCTCCAAGCGTGCGCGCCACTAACTTTCGCACCCAGACGGCTGGCTCGCGGAGACGGGCGCCGGGGAGCAGAAACAAGGGGGCTGCCTGGCGTGTCCACCTGGCCCTCGTTGGCCGTCGGACGAAAGTTAAGAGGACAATTATATTTGCGCTGCAGCATGAGGCCCAATTGACGTCGGACTCACGGAGAGAACGTGCAGACTAGATGATACAACTCCTCTTCCTCCTCCTCCTTCTGCTCTTCCTCCTCCTCCTCCTCCTACTCCTCCTCCTCCTCCTGCTCCTCCTGCTCCTGCTCCTCCTCCTCCTCCTCCTCCTCATCCTCCTTCCTGCTCCTTCCTGCTCCTCTTCCTCCTGCTCCTCCTCCTACTGCGCGCCACGCGAGGCCTCCAGGGTATTCCTCACATCGAGAGGGAGTGGTTTCGCAGCGTCGACCCCCAGAGGACTGGGCTCTTTCCCCGGGGCCGGCTTTCCATCCAGAGTCGTTTCGTGGCGGTCCCGAGGCCCGGGGAGGGCGCCCCGTCGTGATTTTGTCACGGCGCGAGGGGTCTAGGAATCGCCGTGCAGGGCGGCGGGGGCATCCCAACCCGTGGGCCTGCAACTGCCAGTTGCGCCTCGCGACTCGTGGCCGAAGCCTCTCGCCTCCCCCTCTTAGAGCCCCATGGGTAGCCCGAGCCTCCCTCCGCTGAGGCGAGTTGCTTCTGGCAGCCATCCGGCGCGCCGCGACGGCGACGAGCAGAGGGGGATGACGAGGAGGGGGGGTTGTCAGAGGAGGGTCGGAAGGGGAGGTGGGACAGCAACAGCTCCCTGTGAAAGTTTTGGCCAAACCAGCCGGCGAACCAGAATGAGCAAACGGCTCGGCGGGCGGGGCCCTGTGCATCTGGGCCCAGGCCCCACCGCGCAGGGCGATGGGCACGGGGCCTGCTGGACTGGGCCTTGGGGCCAGCCGCCGCCGGATCCAGCTGCGACAGGCAGTGGGCGCAGGACCCCCCGGGCAGGACTCCTCTGGCCAACCGCCGCCAGAGACCGCCGCGCGCGCTAAGCGGATCCCGGCAGCAGATCGTTCAGCGTCCGAGCGCCCAACGACGCAATGGCGCCCAGGTCGAGCGGCGCCGTCGAGCGGGACCAGGCCTGGTGGCGTAGGAGTGCACGCGCGCGACGCACGCCGCCATGTCCTTCCAGAGTATCATTCGGGTATTCTTCTTGGCCCCAGAATTTGCTGCATTGCGCTCTAGGGCGGTAAGGGCGTCCCGTCTGAGTCCCACGTAGCTGCAACTTCTCAACTGGTCAAGATTCCTTCGACTGGCGCCCCAGCGCGCTCAAGTCACTCCGGAATGTGGCCCTCGTGGCCCTCGATATCGTTGCTGGGTTGTGTTTCAGCATCTTGTCAGCAGTGGTGAACGTCACGGCGAACGCCTTCGCCCCCGCCTTCTTGGCGGTCAGCAAGGCTCGTTTGGACGGGTGGGACAGATCCTGCAGCTGCTCGTCGCTGATCTCGGCGAGCGGCTTGTTGCCCTCCGCGGTTGATCCGCCCTGGTTGACCGGGTTGAAGGACATGGCCGGCTGCCTCGGATCCCCTGGGGCTCCCGCGGTATACTTCTACACGTCCGCGTTGCTCACGTTGTTGCCCCAGATGCCCATCGCGAGATGGTCCGCGGTGGGCGGCGCCTCCTCCGCGGCGAGCGCCCTGCCCCTGTCGGCCAGGCAGGTCTACCATTGGAACCGTGCGCGTGCCGACGTTCGCCCCGACGCCGAGGAAATTGCCGAGGACGGTGCTGCACCTGTACTAGTACAGTCATCGGCCTGACCTAAGGAACGATAAATAAGGAACGAAGCCCCTTTTCTATCCCAAGGAATGACGCATAAGGAACGATAAATAACACATAACGCATAAGGAACTGTAAATAACGCTTGCAAACCTAAGGAACGACCGAGCCCCTTTTGAAAAGTAAGTGTTCCTTACTCAAGCCGCTCACTGTATTCGCACAAGTCCGTGGCGCGCCTGGTCTCCCAGCCGAGTCCGCTGAGGAGATCGCCAGACACCCCAACCCTAAACCCTAGACACCCTTCACCCATGCAACTTTCAATCCCGAGCGGAAGAAACATCCTCGGGTTCCGCCTCGGGGGGCAATTCCACAACTTCCCGCGATCATCCATTCAAACCTGCAATGCGGCGCGCGTCGCCATGCAAAGCAAATTCCTAATCTCGCGCGATCCTCTTTCTGAACTCGGCGCACCTGCGAAGGATACTAATTCCTTGCCCTTCGCGATCGTGCGTGCAAAATGTGGCGCGGGGCACATCCCGCCCGCGCGGCTGTTCTGCGCCTTTCATGATCATGCGCGAAACATATGGTGCGGGGCGTATTTTGCCCGCGCGGCGCCTGCGCTCCCAGGCGGCCCCAGGCGCTCCGAAGATATGTCGCGCGCTCCTCCCATGGGCTTCCGCGCGCTCCGGTGCCGCTCCTCCTGCCTGCTGCTCCTCCCTCATGCTCCTCGCTGCTCCTCCCTGCTCTACGCGGCCTTCCCCGCTGGCATGCGTGCACCAGGGCGTGCGACTTCACGTGCAATGGGCTTCTAGGGTGGGTGGGGTGCGGGCGCCGCGCCAGTGCGTGACGCTTCCAATCTGTTGGCGTCTTCGCGCTCTTGTAGACCATGGAGCCCACACCCTAAACCCTCCAGATGGAAAGCACTTCGCACTGAGAAAGCCCGAGCGACAGCAAGCGTGACGCCATCGCAGCGCCACCTCCAAGCTCTCCGACGCCTCCCCAGGCGCTCCGAAGCGCTCCTGGGCGCTCTCGGGCTCTCCCAAGCGTTTCGCAATCCCAAGCGTTCCCGAGCGCTTCCCAGGCGCCCCCGAGCGCTCCGATGCGCCCCCGCGCGCTCCCAGGCGCGGCGCCCAAAAACGGCCATTCCTTTACGTCTCCTTTCACTGGACATGCACACCTTCCGCGCCAGGCGCTCCCCGGCGCTTCCCAGGTGCTCCCGAGTGCCCTCGGGCACTCCCAGGCGCGCCCAGGCGCTCCGAAGTGCTCCCAGGCGTTTCCAGGCGCCTCCGAGGCGCCTCCGAGGCGCTCCTGGGCGCTCCCGCGCACGACGCCATCGCAGCGCCCCCCCAAAGCTCTCCGACCTCACCCCAAGCGCTTCGAAGCACTCCGAAGCGCTCCTGGGCGCTCTCGGGCGCTGCCGGGCGCTCCCAGGCGCTCCCGGGCGATCCCGAGCGCTCGGAGCTCGGAGCACCATGAACCCTCCATAACTCGACACTTCTATCTCTCTGCTGCCGCTGACACTTCGGCGTTGGGACTCCCCCACTGCCACACACACATCCCGACGGGCGGACGCGCTCGCGGCCCCAGCTCTGGCCTCCACCCCGGGCCCCGGCCCCGAGGCCCTCGAGGCCCCCGGGCAGAGCGTGGGGGCTCTGTGGAGGACAACTTTTCAAAGACAGTTGCCTTTACTATCTTATTGTTTGGGGGCTGACTACCTACCAGACCACCCCAACCCAACCCGAAGACCCGAATTTGGATCGAATTTCGGGTTGGGGGGGGTACGGGTTCTATGTGCTTTTTCGATGTTTCCCGCCCCCCCCCCCACTGGAAATCGAGGGTAGATCTGGGCCTTCGGGTTGGGTTGGGGTGGTTTGGTGGGTGGTGAGGCTCTGGCACACCTCCGGCCCCGGGCCCAGGCTCTGGGCCCTGGCGCTGGCCCTGGCCTCGGCGCGCGCCCTGGCCCGGGCCAGCCCTGGCCCCAGGCCCGAAAACGGCCCCCCAAACACCCAGACCCCCGACGTAATGAATTTTTCCTTACGTCGACCCCAGAGTTCTCGACCCCTTCCCCAGGACCGGTTTGTCATCCCGAGTCGTTTTTTGACGCTCCCGAGGCCCGGTGAGGGCCCCCAGAGGCCGAAAATGGCGAAAAACCTCCCGTCATGATTTTTTCATTGCTCGAGGGGGTCTGGGAACACACTGTCCTGTGCATTTTTGGTCGTTGTGGAAGCTCGGCGTGCCCGCCGGGCCCGAGCCCCGGCCCCGGCCACGTACTCCAGCCCAGGCCGCGGCCTCGTGTCCCGGCCCCGGCCCTGGGAGCGCTCTGGGAGCGCAGCTGGCAGCCCTGGGAACGCTCTGGGGGCGCCCATGGCACGCCCCGGGGAGTGCCCTGGGAACGCCTTGAGGGAGCGCCCGTGGGAGCGCTCCGGGGGCAGCCCGACAGGCGCTCCGCGCGAGCCGGCACGGGCGGGGGCGCTTCTGGGGCAGCCCGACAGGCGCTCCGCGCGAGCCTGCGCGAGCGGGGGCGCCTCCGAAGCGGCCCGGCCGGCGCTCCGTGCGAGCCTG